AAGTCCTCCTAGACATCCTCGCTTCCAAGAAGAATTCTTGCTGTACTTCTTGTAAGACAGATTTGTTTGTTCTTCTGGCAGGTCGTGGTAATTTCAATGTTCTTTGCCACCACCATAATTTAAAAAGCATTAAGTCTTCTTTGGTTTTCCTTATTCATTGTCTAGCTTTTGCATGTATGTGAGGCAACTGAAAATACCATGGCTTGGGTCAGGTGCACCTTAGTTCTCAAGGTTTCTGAGAGAATTTCTGAGCAGCTAGCTTTAATATTTAAAAGCCCCTTTTATCCTAGGTCTGTTACCCAGAAAATAGGGTCTGGGATGGAGATTTACATATAGAGGATAGCGGGGAAAGTACTCTTGTAATTCAGAGAGCATAAATTTCCTTCTGTTTGATGCATACAAAGGATTATTTGCTAGTCAAGTAGTGGATAAAGTCACATGACAGAATCAGTTTCTCCCTTGGGCAGGAAACTGGACCAAAGCTAGAGGGTTGCCAAGTGTTAAAAAGGACTAACACTCACCTTAAAGGAACCCTGGTGATGCAGAGGTTAAAAGTGCTTGGCTGCTATCTGAAAAGTTGGGAGTTTGAACCCACCAGCTATTGTATGAACAATGTGGCAATCTACTTCTGTAAAGGTTTACAGCTTTGGAAGCCTACTAGGGCAGTTCTATTCTGTCCGATATAATCGATATAATCGCTATGAATTGGAAATGACTCAATAGCTATGGATTTTTAACAATCATCTATGAAGTCCCTGTTGTTGTTGTTGTTGTTGTTGTTGTTGTTATGTGCTGTCCAGTTGGACCTGACTCATAGCGACCCCTCCTTGGGTTTCCAAGGCAGTATCATTGCAGAAGTAGATTGCCCAATCTTCCTGGCAGGTGGAAATTGTTATCATGCTTGGCTGCTAACTAAAAGGCTGGAGGTTTGATCCATCCAGAGGAACCCTCTGAGGAAGGCTTGGTGATGTACTTCTGGAAAAAAAAAAAAAAAAACACTCATTGAAAACCCTATGCAGCACAGTTCTACTTTGACACACATTGGTTTGCTCTGAATTGGACTCCTTGACAACATGGTAACAATCACCTAATGTAATAAGCAACTAATGATCAATTGATTGCCACACTTAGTTATTGAAATATAGATTTACATGCTTAAAGGAAAAAAAGTGTTTCAAAGCCTGCCTCATTGTTTGAGATTCAATTGTAAACCTGTTTGGAATCTGGGATTATAAATTATTTTCTATTCAACTAGTTGTCATTTACCTAATCTAAGTCATAGATCCAAGGAGGGAATTTTATGATCATTTCTGCTTTTGCCAATCCAAATCTCCAAAGTAACAGCTTCAAAATATCTAACTCATTAACTCCTCTGCAATGTTCTTCACAACATGGTTCCATCCTCTCCAGCCTCTGTACTATCTCTCAACACCAAATTCATGTCTCCCTCCCTATCTTCCATCTCGCTGTTCTCTGCCATCTTCTTCTCCATTTACCAAAATTCTACCCAACTTTGAAGCATCTGATCCACCGCCATGGAGCTCTCTCTTGTCCTGGATCATCTTTGAGAATCCTTTCCTATCCAATTGCCCCATTTCCTGTAACCTTATCTCACATCCTACTGCACCTTAAGGTATTTGGCACATATTGAAAGAATATTATTTTTTAACAATTTTATTGATATCTAGTATACATACAATAAAATTCACCCAATTTAAGTATACAATTCAATGATTTTTAGTAGATTTACATAGTTGTGCTATCATTACATGAATTTAGAGCATTCTTATCATCCTCCAAAAAATTCCCGTGCACAGCATTCCCTCTCCATTCTTTCCACAGTCCCAGACAACCACCAATCTACTTTCTATCTTTGGATTTCAACAAACATTTTTTAAGTTCTTGATCTGGAGTTTCCTTACATTTTTCTGATGGTCCCATCACTTTCTATTGAATCTCTTTTACAAATAAACTAAGATAGATGTTTGAATAAGGAGGCAATGTTAAATAAATGACATTGAATAATCCCTTCCTCACTGAATAAAATGATTGTATCTATCTTTATTATAATCTAAAAGATATCATTCAGGTAAAATCTAACTACTCAGATTTATTTTAAACTCAATGTCAGCCCAGTTTTGTTTTGCAAAGTGATAAACAGGAAGAAGAAGTTGGAGTGAACTGATTAACTGATGGCACCTGGGAGTATTCAAGCAAGTCCATTCACTTACGGAAATTAAATGGAAGGTCAGATAAACATCCTTTTCTGTACTCCCCTTGACTTGAACCCCAGAGAGAAAGACCTCTCCTGAGAACAATTAGAAAGGATAGCCTGCAGGAGTTCAGGATGTTGTTTCCTGTGTGGGTCAAATATAAGTCTGAGCTTATACATTTTATGAATTTTACTTATATTTGATTAAATGGGTCATTCCTTGTCAATCCTAATCTCTTATTATACAACTTTCAAAAATAATGTTTTTTAATTTAAATTTTATTTTATTTGAACTCAATTTAAATTGTGACCACTTTTTCAACTCTCTTATAAGCAAATAAACAAGAGAATGAAAGCTCAATTATTTTCTGACCTGCTTTTTTAGAAATTTGTGATATATTGATGACTTCATATTAATAGCATATTTCAAAATATTTTAATAAAGAGTTGAGACTATTGATAGATAGCATACAAAGCACATCAAGAAAAGAAATAGTTATGGTTTGTATTTTATGATGCCAAAACACAACAGGATTATTTCATAGTTAGAAAACAAATTTTAGCAGAGATGCTATAAAACAAGTGTCTCAGGTGTAAGTAGGTTGTGTAAACTGAAAGCAGTCTTATGACAGTCACATTGTTGAGACACTGTAGATTCTTTCAGAACCAGTTCCACAGTGGAATTACTTTTTTCAGGATTATGTGAATGTAGCCCTGGGAATATTAAACTATTTCAATCAAAGTTTCCAACTGCGATTTCTCAAATGCTCCCTAAATGCAATAGACAAATGAGTGCTTCACATACAGAAATTAACCCAGCATTACACTTTCACTCCCTCTTATAGTTGAAGACCAAACAAAAAACCAAACTAACTTCATGGAGTTGGTTCTGACTCATAGTGACCCCTCCTTGGGTTTCTGAGACAGTATCTCCATGGCAGGGAGTTTGTTTTGTTACCTCTGTGGAAGTAGACTGCCTAATCTTCCTTCTGAGGAGTGGCTGGTGGATTTGAACCTCCAGCCTTCTGCTTAGCAGTCAAATGCCTTAGGCACTATGCC